ATAAACTCACTGAAAACTTAGAAAGCATCTCATCCTGGATGCCTATGAAAGATTTCTCAGAGAACCTATCATCAGCAGATCCTAGACACAATCTCTTTCTTCAAAGCCTAATTTTGCCTACCAGGAAAATTGAAAACTATTGTAAAGATTACTGTAAAATAGATATTCTCATAAATATCAACCAAACACCCAGTCTGAATCTGAAGATTTAATTACAAAAACAATTTGAATCAGATTTCATTATTGTGTTACAATGCTGCAGATCAATATGAAGCCTAATTCTGGAAGGAATATAAAACAGGGGTTTTTAAAGAAAAGATTTTACCTTGTCCTAGAAGTATCCTTGGAGTTTAAAGTGGCCTTAACACTCAGGGAAACCAAGGAAAGGAAAAAAAAAAATGTCCTCAGAAAGAGCAATACATGTGCACATGGTGATTTATTTTTTGTATTAGATGTGATAGTAATACTGAAAAACAAAAGTTCTACAACAGAGATCTTGTCAGAGGGTGAAAAACCCATGTGATGGGGCCCTGATCTGTTCTGCACACCGGAGTTCTTGGAATTTAAGCAAACAGAGCTCACAATAATATAAGTAAGCTTTAAAATTAACTTAAAATCAACCCCTACCATCAGATCTTGCTCTCAGTAAATATGTAATTGTGAAATGAATAAATAAATGAAATTTCTGGCTTACAAATTAGAGTTGGGCTATAAGCCAATATCCACATCAATTATAAAAGAAGCTTCATGAATACAAAATACTTTTGAATACCCAGAAGCCTAAGGCAATTATTATTGAGGGAAGATGCCATTTAAACACAAATCTCATATGGATCAGCTTGAAATAAAATTATTTGTCTATCAGGGCTATTTAATGATATGTTTTCAGCATTTTCCTAGCACTGTTTTTTCGGTCAAGTGGAATATTTTTCTAAATGCTAAATAGATGTACCCATGTGGCTTTGCAAGAATGAGCAACTGTGAGGTCCTCTAATTATCTCCATTGTTAAAGCCTCTGGTAGCCCTGGTGTGCAGAAACTACAGCTGTGAGTCTCAGGGCCTGAAGCCTAGAACACACAGCATGCCTCTCAGCTCAAGCGCGCGTGTGCACGGCTGGGCACAAACCTCCTGGAGACAGCCCGACCTCTGTAAGCTCTGCAGACTGTCCAGGAAATCCTCTGTCAGCTCCGCAGGCTGTGCTTTCTGTGCTGCGTCCAAAGCTCCCAGCCATACCCTAATCATTCTGAGAAGTTTCCATGATCAGTCCCAGAAAAAAGGCTGCAGAGCGGAAGGCTCCCTTCAGTGAAGCCAGTATCTGCCAAGCTCCTTGCGAACGCATACCATCTATTCAGGGCTGAGCTGCTTTATCCTCATTGCATGTAAACTATTCATTTTCTCTTCCTTTTGTACATTTTGCGTTCCATCTTTTTTCTCTCTATTCTTTGTTCTGCCTTTACCAACTTACCTCTACCTCAATTGTCTTTTGTGCAGCTCCCTCAAAAATTTTAAAGGGAAACTGGATTCAATGGCCAGAAAACGGAATCAGATTTCTTTTTGACGTACCAGGGAATAGGAATAGCAAATTTTTTAATTCATACAATACTCAGAATTATTTCTATAAAGCAATTCCTTAAATTACTCTTTTTAAATCTTTGAACTCCTTGTACTAATGTGCAATGAGAGGAAAGCCTTAATTTCTATAGTCAGTACGCCCATGTGAACACCAGGGGGCAATAGCGCACCAAGAATTGTAGGCACTGTCCCCGAGAAACACAATTGCTGTTTATTAGGGCTGTGTATGGCCGTACAATGATCTCAGCTCTCTCAGATGAAGTCTTTTGTTTTGTGTCCTACTTTACAATGTACCGTTCAGTGTTCTATGAGTTGTGACTTAGACAGTGTGTTGCTGTGACAGCTTGGCTTATGAAAAAGAAGGTGAAGGGGGAAAAAGAGGAAAAAGTAAAGAGAAAAATTGAAATGCTTCCGAATGAACCATAATGATAAGAAGTAATCCTACATGCAGACACAAAGTTTGTCCTTCATCTGTTCCTATCCAGAACACAGTTTTTCTGGATTACAGATTGAATTCATCCCTATTCACCCCTCACACACCCTCACCCATTTCATTCTACTTTCTCTGCCACACGGTTTTCTGTTAAAACACAGATATCTTTTATAAAAGAAAAAAATATTTTATTGGCAAATACTTGATTTTTTAAAAGAATTCAAAAAAGTTTTATAATTTTTTGGATTTTTCCCAAGCTTCTGAATATAGCAGCTTAATGTGTTATGCATTTTAAACATTAGTCAGGATACATTTCATTAATATGTATGTCGCAATAAAATTCTTCACATGTAAACAGAGATTCAGAAAAATAGCCAAAAATTATCATTGTTATTTATATCTGATAGAATAAAAAGAACAAACTGAGATATCAGATTTTCAAGAATAGATTCAAAGATCATTGCAAAGGGATCGTTTTCAAAGGTGTTAAAGTACTCCAAAGTTCAAAGTCAGAAAATATGGAACTACTGGGCATCCCAAAATAAAATTCCCAAAAGTCCGCCCTCCTTGCCTACCTAAGCAGGTTCTTCCAGGATTATTAATGTATTCCCATCATTATTAAATTATTACTGTGGTACGGTAGCAGGAATAGTATTTCAACATCTGACTCCCAAATTCTTCTTGAAGCAGATAGTCTTGCTTAGGGAGATGGCTCTCTTCCTTGGTCCTGGCTTCCCAGCCCTGGGCTTCTCTCCTTTGTCCCTGCCTACTTCACTCTAGTCATCCCACCCTCGCTGTTCTTGACAACACACTGATGGTTTCCTGCTTCAGAGCCTTTGACCAATTTTTTTTCTCTGTCAGGAACAACCTTACCTCATTTATCCAAAGGATTCATTCCTTCACCTTCTTCAAGCGTTTGTGCAAAAATCATCTTCTGAGTGAGTCCTTCTCTGACCTCCTATTTAAAATGGAATATTCCACCTAGCATTTCCTAATCCTCCTTTATTTTCCTCAGTAGCACTTATAGCCCTCAAATAAGCAACATAAATTTGAAAAGATGATACAAACCTAGTTAGATTAGACTGCACTAGCCTTCTTATATTAGTTCTAATATAATGAGGAAAAGTAAATGAATAATCATGCTAACATCATCAGGAGCCACGGTCTTCAGGATGAGAGATTAAATCATTAAACATTAAATCAAATAAGTTAAAAATCCTGCAATCTTTCATTAGAACTTGAACAGGATCACAAATTTATGCTTTATTTTCCTTTTCTTTTAAAACATACATATTTTCTAGATCTTGTATTGAAAAGGCTGAGAATGGCAAATCATTTAACCACGAACATCCTTAAGTGCATAGATTGTAGTCTCCAAATATCACTTTCACTGAAAGCCATGAGACTGGGAGTCTAGCATGTCAGAAAGCAAAGACGTGATGAAGACATTCGAGGTTGTATCAAATAAGCAGAAGAGTTAAACATGGCCAAAGATGAGTAATTTGAGCTTCAAAATGAGTAATGACTACAATTACATAAAACTGAAAATAGAGATGCAAATAGAATTAATGGAAAACTAGAATCAATAGGTGATTAAATAAGATATAAAATTGCATGTAAAAATCAATGTATTATTTTTTAGGCAATAAGCAATTATAGGGAAAAATAGAAGAAATTACCCCCATTTATACTACAATTATAAAACAGAAATGCCGTGGAAGTAAATTTTACAAGAAATGTGAAAAACCTATATAAGAAAAACTTTAATGTTTTTCTGAAAGACACAAAGCTGGATCTACTTGAATAAAAGGAAAAATAAACCCTGCTCTTTTAACAGAAAAAAATCCAACATCATAGATTGATGCTAGTTTTTTAAAAACTATTTTATGGAGTTAGACTTCACAGTTTAAGCAGTAAAAAATAAGAATACAAAACAGAAGCAACAATATTAGCAAAGAAGTAGGCCTAACCTTACGAGATATTGAAATCACTATAATCTCTATAATTAAAACAGTATAAATTTTGCAAATGAGTAGAATAATCAATGGGAAGAATATAAAATATTGACCCAAGTACAATGTGGAAATTCACCTGTATGATAAAAGTAATGACTCAAATCAAGGGGGTGGGGGAGGCTTTTTAAAATTAAATGCTGTTAGGACAACTAAGTGGTCATTTGAAAAAAGGTAAAACTTGATATGACAGAATAGTCTAGACTTTTTTTTTTTTTGGTACTGGGGATCAAACTCGGGACCTTGCCCTTTCGAGGCAGGCGGTGAAACCACTGAGCTAAATCCTAGGCCCTAGACTTTTAAAAAATATCAATTCCAGAAAAACAACAAACAAAAAATCTGAGGATTTATATTTTACTAAGGAAAAAAATCCAAAGATATTTGGGAACAATTGAGGAAATTAAAATGTATGAACTCTATATTAGGTTACATTAATGGAGTAATGTTTCCTTCCTGATCGTGAATCTATAGGACAGGAGTCAGTAGGGGCGACTCTGCCCCCTTCCACAAATCTACTTGGCAGATCGTGGCTACATTTTTGGCAGTCAGAATTAGAGGAGGAAACCCTATTGGCATCTAACCGGGAGAGGCCAGGGATGCTACCTTTTTTTTTTAAAGCGATTTTTAAGCACAGCACATGCCTGCACACACAGTCCAAACCTTTCTGTCCAAAATATCAATAGCCTGGTGGATGAGAAACATTAATGTAGGAAAGTCTCCGATTCTTAGAGGATACGTACAAACCGAGATACGAGGCTGAATCATTTTAAATTATTTTCCACAGGTCAAATATCAGCAATATTTGTTTAAATATTTAACGGTGAAGGATGAAAATGTTCAGGACTATCCCCCCAAGCACCGCGCGAGACCTTGGGCCTTCTGGCAACCTGCCAGCCAGTCGCTCTTCCCTCTGGGCGCAGAGGGTGGAGCCTGAACGGTGGGAGGATCCCGCGCGGTGGGTGGGGCCTCGAGGTGGGAGGGGTCTGTAGGTGGCTCTGGCGCGTGCGCAGAGCTGAGGCTGCACCCACGCCCTTCTCGCAAAGTTCCTGACCTACGGGCGCGCCAGGTTGAGGCGCGCAGCTGCCGGCGGAGGAGGGGAGGAACTCAGCTCACTTCTCAGGAAGGGCAGCGATGCTGTGTCAGTTGGAAGACCCGAGCCCCTCTCCTTCGCGGTCCTTGAGTGCTGCGGTGAGCATCCTTACCGCTTTCGATTCCCGGCCGGAGGAGCCTGGCCGTCCCCCCTTCCCGTCTTGGTTCCTGAGGTGAAGCTGAACTCCTCGCTCCTGAGTGGATTCTGACTTCTGGGTGCAAGGAGCCCGGTCGTGTCTGCCTCGGGTGGGACAGGTGTTGCCGGGCACACTCGCTCCATACCGGCTTACCGGGAAGCGCAGATTCAGGTAAAATGTTTAAATACTTCAAGGTTTTTCAGTGTAGAGTCTGTAATTAAGGAATTGGAAAACTTTTTTCTGTGTAGAGCCAGTTAACAGTTAGTTTAGGATTTGCAGGCCAGGAACCGCCCCTGTTAACACACTCGTCTCCGTTGGTTCCTGCAAGCTTGTAAAATCAGAAAGAACGCTCTTAGCTGCCGGCCTTGCGGACGCGTGCCGAGGGCAGTGCCTGAGGCGGATATTCCCTGTGCCCAGCACGGGGACGGGAGCCTCTGAGCCCCTCGAGCTTGCTAGGTGTCCCCTCGAGCAGGACCCAGCTTCGGTGCGGGCCACGACACCCCCTCCCGCCCCCAGGTGTGCGCGGGCTTCTCTTGGATCCAACATCTGCCCCTCTGCCCCTCCCAGGGACTGGTTGCCGGAGTGAGTCCTGGTCGTCATTCAGGCGACCCCAAAACCTCCAGAACTGCGGCCAGGGCACCCTCCTGTACTCTAAAACGGCAGTTACTTCTCACCTAGGAACGAAAGCGAAAGTCCCTAAATTGAATAAATTTGAGTAAAAGTAGTATAAGCTATCTCAGGCTATTGTATTTTGATCACTTGTTTTCTAATGATAAATTAATATATGTTCACTGTGGTAGTTTGGAAAATACTGAACAGTATATAGAAGAAAAGAGGAATTCTCCATAATCCAAACCCACATATACAGTAACTTTATGTATTGAGTCCTGTTTTTCAGTGCATATTGATAGAACAACTTACTAAACCACGAGATTTAAAAAAAATACTCCTTTAAACTTTTGTTGAAGTACAGCACAGAGGAAAATACACACATTATAAATATAGTTCAGTAACGTTTTGATCTAACACAGACTTGCAGCCACAATTTGAATAAAGAAATAAACTTTTGTAAGCACCCTTCATCTTCCTACCCAGGTAGATACAACTTCTGAAATATAGCCACAATTTTATCCTTAGATACATAGGTGAGTTTTGTCCTTAAAGATCAATGAATTATTCAGTGACTATTCTATAGTATTTGGTTTCTTTCACTCTGCATTTTTGAGTTCATGCATGTCGTTGCATGAAATAGGTCTTTTTATTTTATTATTTGCTGTATGGCATTGAGTACATACAATTTATCATTTATACTGCTGTTTTTCTTAATAACAGTGTTGAGATATAACTTATATATCATACAATTCATCCACTTAATCTATACAATTCAATTTTGTTAGTATATTTACAGATATTTGTAGCCATTATCACAGTCAAATTTAGAACATTTTCTTCACTTAAAAAGCAACTCCATCCCCTTAAACTTTCACATCCAATACCACCTTCCTATTTTTTCAGTCCTAAGCAACCACTAATCTTTTTTTCTATAAAGAGCTCTTTGAAGTATTTTGCAAAGATTGAATCATACACTTGGGAAGTCTTTTGTACTTGGTCCCTCATACTGATAATGGACATTCAGACTATTTCTAAGTTTGGGTTATTACAAAAAATGCTCATGTGAACATATGCTATATATCTGTTTGTTCACATGGATACATATTTCTTTTGACATTGATTTCTGAAAGGAATGTCTCAGGTACAGAGTATGCTTATGTATCAGTTGTGTTTATAGTACCAGGTAGTCTTTCAGATTTACAGTGCCACTGGCTTGTGGTATGAGTTCTCACTGCTCCATGTCTTCACCAGCATTCAGTGGTTGAATGGTCCTGACTTATACTTCCATGCTGACTGTTGATAAAAAGCATCTTTCTTACGGTCATTTTCCTCAAGGATAGCATCTTTAGTAATGGGCCTTTTAGGTATTTCTATTACATTGTTTGTCATTTTGTACTGGATTTATATATTTTAGATGAGTACTACAACTACATTATTTCCCTGATCTGTGGTTTGCATTTTAACTATCTCAGTATTACGTTTTGATAAATGTAAATTTTAAAACTTTTTCAATGGTTCATGCTTTGGCTGACCTGTAAGAAATTGTTGCTTACCCCTAAGGTCACTAGAACATTCTCCTGTGTTACCATTTGAAAACTTATTTTCCTCTGAATGTTTTCAATCTGCTAACCACTTAAGAGTTGATTTTTGCAGTATGATATGTAGAAAGGATTTTTTTATTTAACTAACCAGTTGACCTGAATCTTTCTTTAAAAAAATAATCCTTTCTCACTGCTTTACAGTATTACCTTTACGACACTATCCACTTGTCATAAATTGAAAGGAACTGACCTGAAGATGTTGGTATTAGCAGATAAGGAATGTAAAATAACCTTGACAAATGTAGTGATGATTTTGCCGACAGGAGATATAATAGATGAAGAAGTAGAGAATTTCAAGAGAAATACAAATAATATTTTAGAAAAGGAAATCCTAGAGGTGAAAAAATATAATAACCTAAATCATTTGATGAGATTATCAGTAGATTGTACACATAGGAGAGATGACCAGTAAACTTGAAGATAGATCAGTACAAATCATCTAAATTTGAAGTATTCAGAGAAACAGAATTTTTTTAAAATAATAAGAACATCAATAACTTGTGAAGTATGATTAGCCAGGCTAATGCACATGGAATTAGACTTCCAGAAGGCAAAGAGAGAAAGATTATGAGGCACAAAAATATTAACAAATCTTTCCAATTTGATCAAATATATTTTATCCAGAATCATTCCTTATCTTCAATGGAGAATTGATACTGATCACCTGGTTTGTCATAAGTGGAATATAGAAGTTACCATAAATAATTACAAAGTTTTGCATCTATGTGAATGAGCCATAGGGCATCTTGAAGATACACAGTCAATAGAAAAATACCTTGTCTGATGGAACTGTCCTGAGCACAGTTATGCTTGTAATATGAATACTGTCTATCACTAAAAAAGGCCAATAGCACCACCTCAATCTTGATAATGTCAAAATGTCCTCATCGTTTTTCAAAACACCCCTGGGTATGCAATGTGGCCCCCCATGTATTGAGAATCTTTCTCTCACATGACTACCACCACCTCCTTATGCAGGCCCTTTCTAAACTCCTCTTCTCATGCTCCTGTTTAGCAAACCACATTGGCCTCTCCAACTCAAGGCTCTAGGGATTGCTTTTCCTTCTTCCAGAGTGTTCTTCCTACAAACATCCTACGGCTGTTTCATTTCTTGTCCTCAGCTCTTCATTCAAATGTCATTTTCTCAGTGACACCTGTAGATAAAGCACAAAGCTTGTATACTCCTCATAAGTAGTAGTTTGCCAGGTCACTATAATTAATACACTGACTTAGTGGCTTAAACAGCAAAAATTTCTTTTTTCAGTTGTGGAGGCTCTAAGATCATTGTTTCAGTTGGTTTCTTCTGAGGCTTTTGCCCTAGGTTTACAGTTGGCCACCTCTGACTATGTCCTCTTGTGGTTTCTCCCCTCTGCTTGAGCACTCCTGATGTTTCTTTGTCCAAATATCCTCCTGTAAGTATACTGGTGCTAGCTTCTTTAGATTAGAAGCTGCCTTGAGGGACTCATTTTAACATAACCACCTCCTTAAAAGCCTTATGTCCAAATGTTCTTACATTATGGAGAACTGAGAGGTTAGGACTTTAACATGAGGATTTTTTTGATGAAATATAATTCAGTTCATAACACCATTCTCACTTTGCTTTTATGTATAGTCCATACTTTAAATACAGTGAATTTAAATTATGTAATTTGCTTACTGTCTCACTTTCTGTTCCAGTAGAATGTAGGTTCCATAAGGGAGAGATTTTAATTAATTTTGTTCTCTTAGAGAGAACCTCAAATGAGTAAATAATTATAATTGTTAACATTTTACTCAAGGTTAGCCTAAAGCAACCTTAATTTATTCCTAATAGTAACTCCTTATATTTTTTAGAGCATTTCTCCATTTTTTCATGACTGAAGAAATCCCTGTCACTATTCCTATACAGCATCCATTTTTAAAGTATGTTCAAACTTTTTAGGAAAAATGATTATTAAAAAAGATCCACCTTTTTTAGCAAAGAGCATAAGAAATGTTATATGTTTATTTCCAAAGCAACAAAAAACTTTATTTAAGTAGACTGAGGCCTTTTCCATATTACATTCGTATATCCATTCGACTTGCTGAGGACCCCCTCATACCAAACAAATTCTTAACCATCATCACAGAGAAATTTGCTTACTCCTTTATATGCTAATTTGTACCACCTTTTTTTTCTTTAGGTGGTCAGGCTCAGAATGGACGATGAGCTTTCAAAAATGAAAAAGATGGAAATCACCAACCATGCTGCCACCTGAATCAGTGTTTCTTTGTTGCATTCATACAGAGTAAAAGAAAATTATATTCCTGCATTATATAATCTACCAACGACCTACTTACCTACTGTTTTAATCTAGGTTATTCTTGAAAGCAGAGCCTATGACAAATATAGACACATTCTTTTGGGAAATCTGATCCCAGGGAGCAGGAATGAAAGATAGAGGAGTGAATAGGGAGAAGGAGGAAAGAAGACCCAAGCCAAATAAGGTAGTGTTCTCTACAGTCCATTCCTGTTAATGGTTACATAATACAGAAACATCCTAAGATTCTTACTAAATTTTGTTTCAGTGTTCTTCTGCCAGTGGGATAAAAAGCAGAAATACTTCTCTGTCAGAACATTTGTTCTCTGTTAAAGCTGGTCCCACGGGGTTTTAACTCCCCTACCCCTCTGGGCCTCAAGACAATGTTTGTAGGACTATGGCAGCATACATTGCTGCATTAGAGAAGCTTTGGGATAGGAGGCTGGGTTCTTGGTACATGCTACAGTTAGGCAGTCTCAGCACAGATCAGGGTAAACCTTCTAGAACTGTTTACCAGACCTATGGCTACAATCATATGTTGAAAACATGAGACAGTACTCAAGAGACATAAATCCATATAACTTGCTGTTAGACCTGTCTAAATCTGCCTGCTCGCTCGCTTCTTTCTGTAATCAGAAGTCAGTGTGTATGATAAGGTTGACAAAAGGGTGAAATAAGAATGTTAATATGTTAGAAGTTGTGTGTTTATGGCAGTTTTAATCTTGAGTCATGTTTGTAAGAAAGAGAATGTGACAGTGGAACCTGGAAAATTTAAAAAATGATTCTTCACCATTGAGAAGAGATATTAGATGTCTTCTGATCTCATGCAGTTTCAGAAACAGTTGTAAATTTTTTGGAGAAAAATGAAAAATAAAATTAACCATTTCTTGTTTCTTCCATGACCTTCATGATCAATGTCATTAACTTTTCCCAAGGTACTGTTTTCTACTAACATGTAGCACTCATGATACAATCATTGTAACTAATGAAGAGAAACTGATAGAAACACAAGAAACTATTGAGATAATTTCCATCACAAGGGTTGGCATTAATATTGCTTGGAATATGGGAAAACTGATTTAACTTGGCATTCTTCTGTGAAGATCATCTTACCAGAAATAGCCATATCATCATCATCCTCTTACTTGGTCAGGAATTTCTATTAATAGGATAAAGCTTTTGAATCATTCATCCCAGTACCTTTTAAATTCCTCCTAAATGCTATGTATTGTCACTATATACATATAAATAAGACAATATAAAATATTACATCCCAAAACTTCAGAATTTGTATTCTTTGAAGGTGTACCCAAGAATATTTAGCAAAACTTGCCTTAGGCTAAGTCATAAGTGGAATCTGAATATTTTAAGAGATTAAAATAATATTTTGTGTGAATTAAACTAGGATTACATAAAGGTAACAAAAAATTTCCCAAATTCCCATAATTTAAGGAGCATACACCTAATGATCAATGAGACAAATAATGAATCACGTTAGATTTAGAAAATACTTTGAAATGAGTTCTAATGAAAAAAAAATACCAGAACTTTCCCAATTGACTGTGAAAGTGAGTATTTATGGGAAACTTACAGCTCTAAAAATACGTATTAGAACTTTTATGAAAAGGGTGACTGTCAGTGTTTCAGAAAGAAGGGAAAGTAATAGTTTGAGCACCTTTTCAGACACTAGAAACCTGGTAGCAAAGGACAGATCACTTGGATAGGGAAGCAAGGTGAGACTACAGTGGTCTTACCTTCAGCAGGTAAGCACAATATTTCTCTGCAGAGGGGAAAAGAGCAGAGCAGTCTTGCTGACTTGAGACAAAGACTAGATTTGAAACTGGAATGCCTTGAAGTTTCAGAGCAGACTATCAATGAGGAAGTTATGCGGAGAAAAAAATTCCGTAAAATCACACAGTGATTCCTTTGTGTCCATTGCTGAACACTAAACTAAAAAAGCTAACAAGAACCATATAGGGGTACATACCTGCAATCCTGGTTACTTGAAGGACTGAGGCAGAATAATCAAAAGTTCAAGGCTAGCCTAGGCAACTTAGTAAGACCTTCTCTCATAAAATAAAAAGCCTGGATTTGGTCCTCAGCACTGAAAAAATAAATAAAAGCTAGCGTAAGAATGGGAAACATTTCATTCCATTCGGCCATAGTGGAAAAACCTAAATACTCCAGGCATTCACTAAAGATCCCTGAAAGGTTGTATGGTTATATGTAATATCAGTAGAGCTAAACTGACCTGACTAAAATCTGCACCTTCCCTTCCCCCCAAAAAATCTTATAAATAAGCCTGAGTAATGTAAAGCTCATAAGTAACTACCTGCCAGAACCCAAATTCCAAATTTGTTCTAGTCCTCCAAGCAGCCCATACAAAGAGACAGGCTCATTTGGGGGGATAGCTGTAAAGGATGAAATAGAGAGGAAGCCAGAGGAGGTAGAGAGTCTTCAGACTACACCTCTCTGCCTCTTATGAAGTTTTAATAGTTCACTTCATGTGTGTCAATTTGACTATGTCTCAGGATGTCCAGGCACCTGACTGAATTTCCATGAGGATGTTTCTAGAAGAGATAGCATTTGAATTGATGAACTGAGTAAAGCAGGTTGTGGTTCCCAGTGTAGGTGAATTCTTTCTCCGCCTGACTCATTGAGATCTAGCTTTTGCCCTTGGATTGGACATCATCACTGATTCTCCAGCCTTCATGGGACTTCATGGGACTCATGCAGATTCATGAGTCAGTTATTCATAGTAAATTCTTTTAGATGGGGGGAGAGAGAGAGAGAGAGAGAGCACAAGATAGAGAAGAAGAGAGGAGAGGAGAGAAGATTCTTGTGCTGTCAAGTTTAAAGTCAGCAGATGAAGAACAAGCCATTTTCGCACTGAAAGAATTTCCTACCTCATAGGAACAAGCCTGCTTCAGTAGACTTGCTTCACTCAGTCATTGTGTTGAAAACAACCTGTGGGAGATGTTCCTTTAGTATGAAAATGTCCTTGGACTGAGAGAGCATAGCTGAGACCTTGGCAAGAAATCCAAGTGGTGCATTTTCACAAGGAGCACAGTTTACCCTTTGTGCTGCACATCTCTATTCAGGCCTGGCTGCTAGAATGATGACTAGGTGCTAATGTCAGTTCTGACCCTAAACCAGTTGTGGTAAACCTATGGCATGTGTGCTGCAGAAGGCACACAGGGCCCTCTCTGTTGACACGCACATGAGCCAAGTCTCCCCAGCATTGCCCAAGCAGATGAGCATGGGATAACAGTGCACATAGGGGCAGTGTTGGCACTTTGTGATAAATAAGTGGGTTTGGGTTACAGTTTTGTCACTCAGTCTCTAAAAGTTTCACTATCACTGCCCTAGGGCAAGAATCCTAGAAATGTCTGCATGTTTTCTTTTTTTTCGGTACTGGGGATTGAACTCAGGACCTTGCGCTTATGAGGCAGGTGTGGCACCACTGAGCTAAGTCCCTGCCCACACATGTTTCTTTTGACAATGTATAGTCATCCTAGTAAATGGCCATAGCCCATTTGGGGACAATCTTGAGGATTCATGACAGTACATCTGTGCCGTTGTATAACAGAGTCCTTCTAGAGTCTCATCCACCCCTTCCATCTGTAGGTTCCTTATATAAAAATCCCCTCAGTTTGGAGGCTAAGTGAGCATCTGTGATATTTCATTGGGGCCAATATCCTCAATCTCCTGCTTTTTCATGCTTGCATTCTTTGCTTACAGATGTTAAGAAACATCCTTGTTACTTGCTTGTCTGTTTTGCCTGTAGGGGTGTTACCTTCAATTAATCATCTCTCAAACACCCTGTGAGTCAAGCCCACTTAGCTACCCCTCCAATTTCACCAGTAGTTACAGTAATTATGGCCTCTTGGCTTTTCGTAGTTAAGTGCCAGTTCTTCAGGGCCCTCTATTACTTCAAGGCCCATTACCCCTGAATGATATTAACAAGCCTAGCTCTGTGACTGCCTCATCATCAGCCTTGTTTAAAAAGAGCCCCCACTTACGTTAGTGATAACTGGTGCCTTCTCACAGGCACATTCTTGGTGACCTTAGTGAATTGTGTGGCTTCTGGGTCCTCCCTTCCTTGAAACAAAACTATGTCCCTCAACTTCTTTATTCCTTCTTCCTACCATTTACCAGAATAGTGTGGACATTTCTGTTTTGCTTAGTGATTAATGTCCTTATTTTTAGGTTTCTAAGAACTACTCTATCAGTGAATTCACTCCATTCCCTGGGGCTCTAGCTAGAATGATATCTTAATCCATATGTGCTGCTATAACAAAATATCTGAGTCTGGGTAATTTATAAAGAACAAAAATTTATTTCTCACAGTTGTGGAGGATAGAAAATCCAAGATCAAAGTTCTGTCAGCTTTGATGTCCAATGAGGGCCCAGTCTCTGCTTCCAAGTTACATCCTCTGTAGGGGCTAAACATTGTGTCCGCACATGGCAGAAGGAGTGAGAGGCAAAAAGGGCCTCGCTTCTAACCTTTTCAAAAGTCATGAATCCCATTCATAAGGGTTCTGCCCCATAACTTAATCATCTTGTAAAGACACCACCTCTTGATGCTATCACATCAGCAATTAAATTTCAGCACATGAATTTTGGAAGACATTGATATCACAGCACATGATAAGTACTGTGCCCCAGTAAAATGTCCCTAAATAAATACATTCTTGTTTTCCTAGACTTACATTCTAGCCCCTTAGATAAACTACCATTAAAATATAGTCCCAGGAAAAATGAGTCGGCTCTTCACCAAACATGCTTTTTCCTTTTTTCTGATTTTTCAATATTGAGGATCCAACAAGGGCCACTCCACCACTGAAGGACATCCCTAGCCTGTCTTACCTTTTATTTTGAGACAAAGTCTTGATAAGTTGGTCAGGTAGACCTTGGGATCCTCTTGCCTCAGCCTCATCAATAGCTGGGATTATAAGCATGTACCACCATCCCTAACACTGCATGCTGTTCCTTGCCATTCCTTCAGTTTAGATTCTTTTTCTTCCTTTATCAGATCCCACACTCCCCCACTCATTTTTATGATGAATTTAGCTATGATCATCTTCCTAGCTGAAGGAAAAAAAATACTAGAGCAATCTCATGAGTGCACACTTATCTATTGCCTTGTCAAGGAGAGGCTGGTAGACAACTTCCAAAATATGGGAAGTAAATAGCTTTACACAAAGTTCTATTCAGGCCTATCTGACTTTATTGATAAATTTTTTCAAAAGTTTAAGAGGAAAAAAATACCAAGCTTGCAGTTTTTCAACTGAATAGGAAAATATAAATACTTCTCACCTTGTTATAGGAAGCAATCCTAACTTTGATACCAAAACTTGACAGAAACATTGCAAAAAAAGGGAGAATTGTAGACAGGGCCAGCATAAAGGATAGGATTATCAAATAGACTCAAAAACTCACAGGATTAAGGAATTTTATTCATTACAGAGTTTTACTAATCTTAAATTTACAATCATGAGGGATGGGCAAACAAAAGTCTTGAACGTTGCCTGTGGTTTACAAGGTCCTTCCTTCTTGTTTTGAATGAGTTATTTGGCCAGGCTGGAAAATATGAATCTCATTCTACAACCTAAAGCAGATTAGGTTTTGATATGTATCTTTTTTACACAAGTAATTATATAACAACATTTTCCTACAAGCCACACTCCATCTATTTATAGATTATTTTTGGTTATCATAATCACTCCTAAGTCATAGATAAAGATTTACTTATTGGTAATTAATATTACTTTATTTACATAAAGTTCCTTATCAATACATAGGCAAAGATATTTACATAGGTTATTTGCCTTCTTTCTTTCCTAGAAACATCCCCTAAGATGTCTCCAAGAAAAAAATTGAGGCTACCCAAGCCAATAAG